TTCTCCTTCTAGGAATAGGCCAATAGTTACTGAAACAAATCAGTTCAGATTCCAGAAATCAGGAAGTGTAAAAGTACAGAGTCACAAGATAGTCAAGAGGTAATGCCTGCCAGACTATGGAATGTCCTCTCCCTGGTTTCCAGGGTAACTGACCACAGACATGCCCCCACCTGAGGGCAGCCAATGAGAAATAGTGGTGGGCAACCACTCCCTTAGAAGTAATTTCTGGAAGTCCCTAGAAGCGAGCCAATCAGAATTGTACCTGTACTAGCACCCCTAAATGATGTAACCTTGTGATTTTTCCCTTTAAAAGCTGAGCTTGCAGATAGGTGGGCACTTCCTCCAGCCTCCACTGCGTTGGATGTATTGGACGAAGTCCCTGCCTAGGCTTGTATTGCTTTTGGATATCCAGAATTAAACCTTGCTTTTGCATTCCGGCATGCTCGTCTTTGGTGGTCTCTCTGGGGGTCACGACCTGGGCACAACACCATCTGTGAAAGGCTAACCACGGAGACATGTTGGAAAACAGAAAGTAGATTCAGCTAACGTGATCATAGGCCTAGTGATTGTACCGAACCAAGACCGTCTTCCAGAGTCCTGACATAAGGTATAGGTTTATAGAGGGCAAGAGGTATAAGCTGGTCAAGCTGCACATAGTTAGTCTCTCCTGCAAGGTAGCCTTCAATGTTGTCAGAATAGTGTAGAATCCCTTCCTGGCAGACAAGACATTTATAAAACAAAAATGCCTCTAACCTGTAAGCCCCACTTGCCCAAGGACAGATAACTTCCTGGAATGCTGGAGGCTGTTGTTCATGTAAGATAGCAAGCCGTGTGTTTTCTCTTCTGTAAACAAGGCGTTGCAGATGTGCTTGATCACATGCAGGCAGGAGGTACATAGGCAGGTGAATGGAGAGAGAAATAACAAGGAAAGGACACGACTACTCTTAGGTATGGTGGAGGAGAAGGGTTATTGTAGATAAAAGGGAGAGCAGACATCTCGGAGAGTTCAGAGTGGACATGACCCAGAGGGACATGTCCATGAGGACAGGGGGAGGGGAGCTGCCAACCAAGAGGGACAGCCTGGGCCAAGAGACTGACCAAAAAATAGATGAAAAGATCAGGTAACCAAAATGACTGGATTATACAGGGAAGGTGTGGTAGTTTGAAAGAAAATGGTCCTCATAGGCTCATAGGGAGTGGCACTATTAGGAGGCGTGGCCTTGCTGGAAAAAGTGTGTCTCAGTCACTTCCTGCTGCCTTTGGATCCAGATGTAGAATCTCAGCTACCTCCCCAGCTCCACATCTGCCTGCATGCCACCATGCTTTCTGCCATGATGATAATGGACTAAGCCTCTGAAACTGTCAGCCAGCCTCAATTAAAGATTTTCCTTTATAAGAGTTGCAGTGGTCATGGTGTCTCTTCAAAGCAATAAGACCCTAACTAAGACAGAAGGGTAGCTGGAGGAAGGGTAGCCCAAGCCCTGGGCTGGAAAAGTTTAGGGTAGGGGGCGGGATATATCAGCCAGGAGGGCCCTGTAACGGATGGAGACTGAGGGATGCAGAGATAACCTGGTGGCCAGCATCTGCTTTGATATATTAAATAGGCACCTCAGCCATTCTTCCCAGGTTTGAGACCTAACATCAGGAAGTACATCAGGATGTATGCTTGCCCCCAACTGGATGACGGTAGCAAGTGACAGCCTTGTGGGTCTTGTCTTTATAAGTACCTGACTGACGTCATTCATAGCCATTCTCTGGGAATCCCAGGTATGGACCTGGCCAGTGTCCATCATCCTGGCCTGTATTTAAAAAAGCTTGCTTCAAATTTGGCACAAAAATTGTGATAGTGGTCTTAATCCTGCCCAGTGGAATCAACAGCTTTCCCTCTGGTGGACACCAGACTTCAATATATTCCATCTGTCAGCATGAGAGTCTTCAAGGAAGAGACTACTAAATTTATTGGGGACCATTGGTTCAATATTCTCATAGTCAAAGGGCAGGGCACAAGCTCGTAAGAATATCTTCATTCCTGTCAGGATGGTTACACTATTCTACAGCTGGGAAACAGGGACTTTCGGCCAAATGTGCGGAGCACCAGAGACAAAACAGTCATGCTTTCTACCGAAGCTTACACTCTGGGTAGGGTTGGGGAAGTAGAGAGTGTGGAGGAGCCCCATAACAGCTTGACCACACAGCTGCCATGACAGGCTTAGGGGCCTAGGCACAGCTTCTGTGACAGACTACTGTCAGGCAACACCCAGATCCAGGAAAAGCCATAAGCTGACACCAACCAGGGGTCCACCCAGGGATGGGGAAGCACCTAACATCCCAAACATTCCATTAGATAAGGTGGCCAGATGTCCTTGAGTCTAGCACACACCTCTTTAGTTTGTTTGTTTTTTGTTTTTAGCTTCTAACACTTTATTTTTTTAAAGATATATTTATTTATTATGTATATAGCATGTGTGACTGCAGGCCAGAAGAGGGCACCAGATCTCGTTACAGATGGTTGTGAGCCACCATGTGGTTGCTGGGAATTGAACTCAAGATCTCTGGAAGAGCAGTCAGTGCTCTTAACCTCTGATCCATCTCTTCAGCCTCCTCTTTTTGTTTTATAGATACCCCTAGACCGTTGTCAGACAATCAGGGTCCTGAACCCTGGAAACCCTCTCATCCTAACCCCTGCTATGATTAAAAACTCTACTCTGCCTGGGTTCAGGGCTCTCTGCTATCACTGCTGGGTCAGAAAGACAGAGAGACCAAGTTCGGATCTTGAAGAAAATAAAGACTCTTTGCTTTTACATTCGGGATTCGGTCTCCATGGTGGTCTTTTGGGGGTCCTGCAATCTGAGCATCATCCAGAGAGTGCAGGTGGCCAGTGAGCCCATACATTTTTCACTTCCAATTACAACTGCTATAAGAATCTGGCTCAACAATAGAGTACATCAGGCCTGGGGCCAGAAAAGTTTTTGTGAAGAGAGTAAGATGTGGTGTGACTGAAATTGAGACAAGGCGGGCTAAAAGAAGACTGACACCCACCCCTGGGAGAGTGGGGCTGAGCTATCCCTTAGAGCTTAAATATGAGAGGTCAGCCTGGATCAGCAGTATAGACTTGAGATATCCCAAAGGGTTGCAGTCTATTATGAGGCAATGTGATTAGTTTAACCTCTGAGACTGGCTGGGCTGATGTGAAAGGACTATGAACTAAAAGTGGCAACTTGTTTTGTGGTCTAATTTAAGCTCTCTTGGGTAGTAAATGTGGGGTAAGTGTTAGTTATTCGGCTGCTCTGTGTTCTTACCCTGCATGGAAATGTCACGAAACACGACAGAATCCGTTAATAAGAGTTTTATTAAAGATAAAGGGACAGAGAGTGAACAGGCCTGCGGGAAACACGTGTGTGGAGAAGAAGGAAGAAGAAGAAGGAACCGGGAACATGGTGCCGGATTTTAAAGGCTGGGCGTGGACAGATCAACGTCACTACTACACACAAGTGCGTAGATCACATGGTCACGTTGCCTGCCTACATAGCCAGTGGAATGTCACGGATCTTGGTCACACGAGATGCCCTGACCCGGAAATGGCTATCCTGACCTGGAACTGGCTAGGTGGAAGTGTCCGTTGGGCATATGCGAACACGCCCAACCGTGGGGGCGTGTTGTAAACCTTTCAGTAAGAGCACCTTGGATCTCTCTGCCTGGTCTGCATTTTCCCAGGAGCCAAGGGTAAATGGTAAAACTTACATTCTTTCCAGTGCTCCTGAGAGAGGAGGGGTAACTGCTGGAGATGGGGTTCTGAGAGTTGGGGAAGTTGAGTCGATGATCAGCCAAGGAATGAAAGGAAAGGGGGACAGTGGCATGTAAGAAATAACAAACATCATCATTCCTATAAAATACACAAAACTTGAGCTGGGCGTGGAAGCGCACGTCCTTAATCCCAGCACTCTGTAGACAGAGGCAGGTGGATCTCTGAGCTTGAGGCCAGCCTGGTCTACAGAGTGAGTTCCAAGACAGCCAGGGCTACACAGAGAAACCCTGTCTCAAAAAATCAAATACACACACACACACACACACACACACACACACACACACACACACGCATATATGTATACATATATATACAGATATATGTACACACACACACAATCTTGTGTTTAGAACTAGGAATCAAGATCCTTTTGTCTCCCCCACCTTGTAAGACTTGCAAATATTTGAATCCTCTCCACCCAGGAAAACCTTTATTTACACAAAGGGCCACTGCTCTGGTCCAGGAATTTGATAGCCTGGGGCAGTGACCCTTTTCTCCTTGGAGCAGTGACCCCTCTCCCCTTCCTCCTCTATTTCCTATGCACAAAATATTTTCAGACTAGCCAACTGAGTAAGTTTGTGAGGTGGGGCCCTAGCCAATTGGGAAAAGACACAGCCACCACCTTCCTTAGAATAAAAAACCAAATGCATCTCCGGTATAGGTGTGGCTGCTCCCCTGACTGGTCCACCCCAGCACACCCTCTTGATACATAGTCATTTTCCTTGTACAGGCACTTCAGTTGGAGTGATGGTCTCTCCTTGCAATCCCAAACTTATTTCTAACAGTGGCAACAGCGGGGAAATCAGTACAAAATATGTAAAATTATTTTTGTTGAAAAAGAAATATGATCAATCCATTGTTAACCAAATTTTCCAGATCATATTGCTCAAGGAGGTCGTGGGAGTTGAGTGCACGTCAAAAGCACAGGCTGCCAGACATGGAAACAGAGCTATTGAATCACAGTCTTTAAAGTGTGGACTTCCAATCAGCTTTACGGTGATTGCTCACTGCTCTGTGGGGCTGTCTGATTTGGGAAGGATGCGGGTCCGATTGAGTTCAAGCCATTACTAAGGCTTGAGCCTACAATTCCCATGCTGCCCCGCGAACTAGCGCGAGCGAGCCAATCGTCTGCCGGGAGTTGTAGTTTTCAACGGCCAGACCCAGTCTATAAGAACTTGAGCGATGGCTCCAGGAAACCAACCGTCCCACAATGCAAAGGCCCCCGGTGACGCCATTAGACGAGCGCCAGCAGAGCTGCGAGCGGGCAGCGTCGTGGGCCCCGCCGCCTCCCACCCTGCCGCCTCCGTCGCCGCCGCCTCCGTGGGGCCCTCCGTGTCTGCGCAGCGCGGCCCGCGGCTCCCGGAGGAGCAACCGAGCGCGGGGCCCGGCGCGGGCGCGGGGCGCGGCCATGGCGGACGGTGCGGGAGCAGGCGCGGCGGGCCAGGCCTCGGGACCGGCTGCGGGCTCTAGTGGTGCAGGGGGCCCTGTCAACCCCGCTTCGCTGCCTCCGGGAGACCCGCAACTCATCGCTCTCATAGTGGAGCAGCTCAAGAGTCGCGGCCTGTTCGACAGCTTCCGCCGGGACTGCCTGGCCGACGTGGACACCAAGGTACCCGGGCCGTGGGGGGCGAGGCGGTGCACCCCGCTGTTTTGACGTGCGGGAGCCGGGAGTAAAACAAAAGGCAGCTCGGGAGCCTCCGGGACGCGGGGCCCCTTCTGAGTGGTGCTGCACACCTGAGCACTACTCACGCCCTTCACTTACCAGCCGTGATTTTTAGTCCAGTCTCCTTTCTGAACTTGGAGATTACTTTACGGTTGCACACATAAAACCTTCACCATACCAAAGAAACTCGTATTTCAAAAAAGTCAGGAAAGGCAGAGTGCTTTAAGAAGCCGTACCCATTTTCTGTTCGCTACTAGGGAGGTGATTGTAAGCACGGAATGGATCGGACGACTCGGCAATAATTATTCCCTTTCCCCAGAGGAATGATTTGCAGACTTGTATTCCGCCAAACTGGGATAAGCTGTAGAGTCAGCACCCTTCTTTTGTATCCTTTAATTTAAAGGGAGTTGACGCCTGTGTTAGACCCAGTGCAAAAGCCAGTCTATCCGGTAAAAATACTAATTCGCCTTACTTGGAAAAGTAGTTTGGAATGTGTGTTAAGGGTGAGAGCATTCCTTTTCCCTTTACAAATCGAGCTTGCCAAGATTAAGGTGGTGGAGTTAGGGGTCTTTTTACTGACTGAGAGGACTACCCAGGGTAGTGGTTGCTCCACAGCTGTTAGGGCTGCATGTCACCAACGCCAGCTGGTCTAGATAGGCCTCAACTGTGGCTTGGCGATCAGCTGCAGGCTACCCGGGCTTGTGCTATGACTTTGATGTGGGGTTAGGTGTGCTCTACATATATACATCTTAGGCCACAGACTGCACAGGTAGGCCATCCTTCCCACTGCATGTTCCCATCCAGGGCCCAGAGCCATGCCTGACAGCACAGCTTCAGTTCAGTTCTGGAGACACAGCACTCAGCATGGATGGGGTGAGGAGGTATATGAGCCTTCAGTAGGAGAGAGGGAGGAGGTTGGGCTCTCAGAACCATGTGTTCCTTGTACTCCTAGTCCTGTTTCAAGCTTGTAGGAGCAATTAGAGTAAGTACCCCAGGCTCCTTTGAGCGTCACAGCTTTGCCTGGAAACTCATCACAGAACTCCCTTAGCATTAATTGTTACTCTTGCTGAGGTTTGGGTGGCCCTTTCATTTGGAGGGGCCTTTCTTTGGTGTACCGCTGAGAACACCCACTGTGAGTCAAGCAAGCAGGAATGTTTGTATTTTATGAATGGAAATTACTAAAATTCAGAAGTCAGGTGACTCCTGTAAAGTCAGCTTGATCTAGAACCAGTTCCTTCACAAAAACAGCCTGCATCTGCCCTTGGCCACATTGTACTGGAAGGCACCTTTGTTTACTCTTCAAAGCCTGAAAGTCTAATGTGTAAATGAGGGCAGAATAATACTAATAAGCCTTCCCCACCTGGAGTCTCTTTAAGAGTAGATTGGTTTATATAGGTAACGCCCTGCACTGTGTTAGGCCACTGCAAGGCAGACACCCTGCTGGCTGTGGATTCCTAGCTCCTGTACTGCCGTGTGGGCACTGAGGTCAGGTGGAAGTGTGTTTAAATGAGAAATGTGTTTCTGTGAAGAGCAGTGTTCTGAATAGCTCCTTCCACAACTTCAATACACTAACGTAACTAACATACAATAACATGGTCTCTTCTGAATGTCTTAGCCAGCTTACCAGAACCTGAGGCAGAAAGTGGATAATTTTGTGTCAACACATCTGGACAAACAGGAATGGAATCCCGCAATGAACAAGAACCAGTTACGGAATGGGCTGAGGCAGAGCGTGGTTCAGTAAGTAAAGCCGTGAGGAAATGGTGACTGCCCCAGCGTGCTGCTGCACAGGCTGACCTCTCCCGGGCCTCCTGGTCGATGGGGCTCTGTAGCCGTCTACTGTCCGATGCATCAAGGGGAAGATGAGCAGGGCCCTGGGGCACCTGCCGCTGCCTCTGGGGGCCTCTGGGTGTGCATATTCAGTGGTCACTCTGGAAGGTCTTCCAGAGTGTGAGACTTGGTTCTTGGAAGCTTTCAGTGTAATCTGAACCTGAGAGCGAGTTTTAGGCCAAGATGTCAGTGTTTGGGTGTGGGCCAACAGGGCTTCACCTTTGTTCTCACAGGCATGTGAGTTCTGTGTGTTCGGTGACCACGGTTGCTAAAGTGTGGTGACAGTTTGCAGAAAGATGTCCTGTAAGACATTGTCCTTTACAGAAACAAACTGAACCTTTGCTAGAGAAGGTGCTATAGTGAATCACATGAGTGGCCTCATTGTCACTGGCACACTGGGGGTGGGTCATGGATTCCAAGGGGAGGGAAAAATGAGGTGTTCGTGGCTAGAAGGATATATATATATAGAGAGAGACAGATAGAAACATAGGAAAGCCTCGGAGGGCTTGGGTCTCAACCCACCAGCCCCTTCTGTCTCAACTAAAGGACTTTGTAAAGGAATGCCAAGGGGTGAGGCAAAAGACCTCCCCCAGCACAGCCAAATGCAGACCATCCCAAACATCTGGTGACTATGCATGTGGTCCAGCCATCCCCTAATGCAGCCCTGCTGTGTAAAGCAAGCTCAGATCTCACTAGGAAACCTTTGTGGGCTCCCACATCAAAGTAAGTTTTTTCTGATCTGTTCAGAATCCATTTTGGCTTTTAACACCAGGACTTATATTTGGCCCTTCTTCGTCCACTAAGTTGTTGAATAAAAGCTTAGCTTATGAAGCAGGACTCTGAAAACAGAAGCATCAGGGAACTGGTGAGAAAAGTAAGTCTTGGAAGGCTGAGAAATGACTACATTTGCTACCAGTGCAGAGATGTGTGGCCAGTGGCAGCTACCAAGGGCATGATGGGAGTTGATCAAGAAAGCTGGAGCGCCAGGGCGCTCTCGGTGCTGTTGGGCATCTTAGCTGTGCTGGTGCATACCCTAAGCAGCTCAGGTAGTGAAGTTGTGCTGCACACCCAGAGGCTCCTATGGTAGAAGTTGATCCGCAGTGAGTTGGTGTTGGTAGCAGGAGCTGGTAGGAGGTGTTGAGGTCATGGGGCCTTCACCTCTGTGGCACTAAATAAGTTCTTTGAGAATCAGTTGTTGAGTTGGGCCAAATGTCAGGCCTGTCACACTCCTGTCATCCCAGCACTCAGGAGGCTGAGTCTTGGTTATGTAATGAGTTCCAGACCAGCCTCAGCTACCCAGTGAGACCTCTCAGAGAAAGAAAGAAAAGAAATTGGTGAGTTCAGCTGCGTTTCTCCAGGCAGCCTAGTCTCGGCATGTGCATGCTCATCATGATGTAATACAGATAGGGACCTTTAGCAGACACTGCTGGCACTGTGTTAGTGACTTGGAGCCACTAGAATCCATGAGCCAAGTGTACCTCTTTATACATGAGTTTCCCCACCTCAGTTATTTTGTTACAGCAACACAAGGTAGGCCAGATAAATACACACACACACACACACACACACACACACACACACACACACACACACACACACACACGAGTGCAGGTCATCTAACACAGTCTGGATTGTACTGGTGCCAGATTCCTGGTTTGGTAGTGTAGTGTTAGGCAAGGTGCTAACACTGAAGTGCTGGCTAAAGATGTATGAGCCTGCTTGTATATTTCCTTGAAACTTCTTGGGACTATACAGTGATTGTGAAATTTAAAAGTTTAAAAACAGAGGATTTTGCTGACAAGCACTATAGCACTCACTGTGTGGCTTATGACCACTGAACTCGGAATCTTACAAATGAAGATTAACACCCACGTAAAGCGCTCTGAGCACTAGGGGAGTGTGGCATCTAAAGCTGCCCCTGCTGTCTTTTAGTCTGCCCAGTCCTGCTCCCTTTCTCAAGGTGAGTTCTGTTGGTGCAGAGGTCTCAAAAAGAAGGGGTCAGTAGTCGCCCTGGGTTGAGCAGCTGCATGTAGCATGTCCAGTCTTTCTGTGTCTCACTGGTTTGTGCTGGATGGAGTAACAGCTGCGGGAAGCCACCTCTGTTCCGGCTGCTGAGAATAAATGCTGAGAAAACAAGGCACACAAGGCTTGCTGCTGCCTTTGACACCGACTGCAGTTTCACCCTGCACCGTGGCCAGCCTGCTCTCATGGTTTGTCACATGTGCTGGCCTTTGGAGCAGTCTGTTTAGCTCTGTTTGGTTCCTTTGTATGAAGTGGAGACTGCATTAGGAACGGTGGGTGGCAGGCCGCTGGGAACCCTTCGAAAGACCATGGTCTAAATCCGGGGACAGTGGGTGTTGGCGGGCTCTTGAATGGCACTCGGGACTTTCTGGTGCAGAGGAGGACTTGGGAGCTAAATAACACTGGTTTGCTTCTCTCCACAGGTCAGGCATGCTGGAAGCAGGAGTGGACAGGATCATCTCTCAGGTGGTGGACCCCAAACTAAACCACATCTTCAGGCCACAGATAGAGCGAGCAATTCATGAGTTCCTGGCAGCCCAGAAAAAAGAAGCTCTGCCAGCCCCACCTCCAGAGCCTGAAAGCCAGGATCCGCCAGCGCCATCCCAAGACGCTTCCTAAGGTTTGGTACCCACCCCATCTTTCCTCTCTGCTAGTCAGTGTGTGAGATGGTTAGAAACAGGGTAAGCTGTAATTAGACATGTTTCACACCGGTCAGAAGAGAGCGCTGAGTGGACCTCACCCCAGTGAGCCATCTCGGAATTCAGCGCTAGCACACCCCATATTGGCAAGTGTGCTCTGTGCCAGCAGGGCTTAGCATCCAAGTCACCACAGGAAACCTCATCAGGAACCATGGTGGCAACTGGTTTACACAGGGACTCATGTGGAAGTCATCTTCTCTGAAATGCTTACACTTGACTCCCTGCCACCAGTTAACATTGGTGATTTGCATATGAAATCCAGCAGCATTCCCAAGGGAGACATTCGGTAATCCATGTTGCACTGGATTACCATGCAGTTCAGTTCTGTTCTCATTGTCTCAGGTTTAGGATTTAATCTCAACTTTGAAAATTAGCTGGGGATACAGAGGTGAATGCTGGACTGGGTTTGGGGAGCCATGGTATGAGCAGTAGACCTCTCACCTGCCATCATCACACCCTGGGGGCGTGTTCTGGCCCCTTGTTCTGCTGTTAGTGGGTCATGAAGGTAAAATTGGGTAAGGAAGCAGTTGACCTAGGTTTTTGAACGTGGGCAGTTGAAGGGCTGTTGTAGCTAGAGTTTTCCTGCCTGCCCACAGTCAGGACAAATCTCTCTCACCTGCCAGTCCCACAGCCGCTCAAACCCGACCAAGTAAACACAAAGATTTATATTGGTTACAAACTGTATGGCCGTGGCAGGCTTCTTGCTAACTGTTCTTACAGCTTAAATTAATCCATTTCCATTAATCTATACCTTGCCACGTGGCTCGTGGCTTACCGGCATCTTCACATGCTGTTTGTCATCGTGGCGGCTGGCAGTGTCTCTCTGACTCAGCCTTCCACTTCCCAGCTTTATTCTCCTCCTTGTCCCGCCTATACTTCCTGCCTAGCCAATGGCCAATCAGTGTTTTATTTATTGACCAATCAACAACACACTTGACATACAGACCATCCCACAGCAGGCTGTCTTCTTGTGCCTCTTGGGAGGGATCCTTGATCCATCATGAAGTACATGTAAAACATTTGTTTTAAATCTTTTCCATTTCATTGTAAATTCTTTTAGGAACATATAGTTAATGAATATAGGCGTTAACCAAAAGTACCATTTTGCATGATTATCTTTTTTTTTTTTTTTTTTTTAGAATATGCCTGATACCTTTGGAAAACTCCATTTAATGAAGAAATGAAATGGATTCCTGTTTCATATGAATATAACTTTATTCAACTACGTCACTACTGATGTCAAGATTTTGGCCTTGACTAGGGTGGTGTCCATATTGGATGGAGAGCAAGTTTGGTGGTGGGACAGTTGTCCATACTTGCTCATGCATTGTGCCATCTCTGACCAGCTTGTCCAAGGGTCTGACCATAGTAGACACTACAGAGGTTTAAGCACTACATGACTTGGGCTGTCCTGAACAAACCTTTATACTTGAACACGGACACTGCATGTCGATGTTAACGCTTGTGCTCTGCAGTAGGTAGAAGCCAGGCTGGGGCTCGCCGGTCAGGACAGCAAAGGTCAGTGGGAGCGGCTGTTTGATGGTGGGTTTGATATTGTTGCTAGAGTTACAGGCTGGAGTGTGCAGCAGTAACGACAGTGCCCTAAGGTTATTGTGACCTTCCTGTGCTTGGGGATTTTAGTGGTTTCCTTCCTCTTGTCAGAGGTAGTTGGAGCCCTGGAGTGAGTGAGGAAGCTGAGACTTGGGGTGCAAGGAAAGCCCCACCGCCTCTGTCCTGGCGTCTCCCTAGCCGTAGGGGCGAGTCACTGTGGATGTGGTGCTCAGTTCTCATGTTTGTGTTTTTAGAAGAACAACTGTTAATAAATAGTGGATGTTTTACAATAAAGTCATTTGATGATGTTTTCCTAAAGCCTCAACAGAATCTTAGCCTCTCTCTGTCTGTGGAGGTGACTCCCTTTCGTCTTCCTGCCTGCTGTCTCTTTACCAAGCCTGACTTGATGGGAATGAAGGATTGGCGGCTGGAACCTGAAGGCACCCTGGCTCAGGCTGGACAATGCAGCTGATCAGGGCCAGGCAGTGTCTTGTTGAATGAATGTTCAGCTCATCTCAAGCTTGGATGAGTACCAGTGCCCCTGCGTATCTCAGGGCAGAGCGGGGGAGCTGGGTGTTAGGGTTCAGAAGGCCTGGGGAACTCACGGTTTGTATTTCTTTTCTTTTCTCTTTTTAATACATTAATTATTGGCCTGGGGTGGGGTGAGGAGGGGACAGGTTGCATGTGTGGAGGTCAGAAGACAACTTGCGGATATTGGTTCTCTCCTGCCAGTAATTGAATTCAGGTCACTGGCCCAGAAGTTTGTATCTCACAAGGCCCCAGGTGATGCTGGGCCTTTCTCACACATCAAATACTGGGCCTTGGATGTGGCAAAGATTACTTCAAACTAAGAATCCTTCATAGTTGAGTGTGCTGCTGATATTGTTGATCTAACTTGTTAGGTTTGGAGGTTTTATGGTGCTGGGGGTAGAACCCAGTGTCTTGCACCTGCTAAGCACATGTTTTACATCTGAGCTACATGCTCAGCCCAGATCTAACAAAATGTTTCCCTTCCACCTTTACCACAAATCCCTCGGTGATAACTATGTTGCCTGCCAAGAACTTGGCAAGATTTTTGTAGCACCTGCCCTTGTGTCCAAAGAAGCTGGCCCGGTCCTCAGCACAGGTGGAAGTGACCTCAGAGGCGTGATCTATTTTCCCCTTCTGGATACAGTACCATCTCCATGGAACAGGTTGCTGGCCTTGTCTGTCAGCAGCTGGGAGCAGAACACAGTCCTTTCCTGTACTGTCCTGCACATCAGAGAAGTGTGTCTCCTGAGAGGGTCTTTCCTGCAAGAACACAGACCTTGGGACCTCCTTCCTGAGACTGAACAGCTGTCCCACACTGGCCTCACCTAAGAAACGATGGCAGAATAGACCAGCTCAGGAAATTCCTACTTAGAGATGCTCTGTTGACCTGATTTTGTGTGTTTTTAAGCAGGCAGGGTTTGATCTGTGTTCTTGCTTTGTTTTCCCATTACTGAAGAAGACCTGACTAGATGCCCAGAAGTGCAGACTTCCAGTGTTGCCTCCTAAGAGCTCAGTCTCCACAGTTCTGGCCTCACATTTTCCACTTAGACTCAGTGAGGCTGAGTTGAGAAAAGCAGAGCTTTGAGAGAGACTTGTGCTCTTAGAAGATGGATATTGGGCTCTTAGCCAAGTCAAGAGGGAAGATGTGCCTGTGTTCCCAAGGTGGATGTCTTCAAACTGCTGGAGGTGTAGTCAAGACAGCCCTGCGAGGCTCAGACAGGTTGCCCCCCAGATCTGTGTAGACCCCTGAATCTTTAAGCTTTAGGTATTGGGTTCATCACACAGAACCTTAGAGGAAATCATGGTCCAAAAAGTAAGACAATTCTTCCCCAAGGAAGGTTAGTCCTCCAGAACTCCTTCACCTATTAAACACACTTGCCATTCATTCTCTTTGAAATATTTTCATTATTCCTTTCAGCGTTTCCCACAATGTAGTTTGATCATATTCACCCCCAACTCCTGTATTCCTTTTTGGCAAGAACCAACATCTGTGGTTGCTGCTGGAGACCTTCGTTCCTGGCACATTTCTAGTTACCAGCTTGGCACTGACCCAGCCTACCATCTCCTAGAGCCAATTGTTTGACCTCGAGATGCTCAGTGTGACTTTGGCTTCTATACAGGGGTCTAGCTTGGCTTTTGCCACTGTGGCTTGTCTTGTACTAACGTAAAACTCGCAAGTTCTGTGTGCTGTGTTACCAGCCTGTGAGCTCGAGAAACACTGGGTGCACCCCAGCAGCACGTGGACACTGGTTCCAAAAGGCAGCATCGCATTGCCCTGCGGAGGTTGCCATCCCCAGTTGTGCAAGTGCCAGAGCCTCGAGTGTACCAGTCAGTGCCACTGCAGGACCTCTTCCCCAAGGCTGGTGATGTGACTCCTACTGATGGACTAACCATACGGTTCACATGGCTGTGCCAACACCACCTGGACGGTGAGAACACGTGTCTGAATTCCCCCCGGAGTCCCTTGCAAGGACCACCTTTGGACCTCTTGGCTTAGCCACGCCTGCCCATAACTCGACTCCTAAGTGGCCTTTGATATTGAGTTGGCCAAGGAAGCTCAGAGCATTGCCTGGAACTGCCAAAGGTTTTGTGGACCAGAAAGGTCAGTGGAGATACCTGGGGGCCCAGCAAAGGTCAGGGAGTTTGTGGTGGAGGCTAGCACTGGGGTTTGGGTTTGAAGGCTGTTTAGATAAGGTTGTGGCTGGCTGTCCTGTGTCCTGTGGATGCCAAGGACAGGCTAGGATAGTTGACACAGTACATTGTCAGTTGTCAGTCACCTTGTCTAAGGTAGTATCTCCAGGAGTGGACTCCAAGGCTATGTGCCAGTAATCACAACTGTTCTCTCATACCGCACTGCCTCCAGGCACCACGGTGCCTTTGACCCTCCTTCCTAAGACATGGCTTCTCACTGAGAACCTTCTACTCACTAGTCTCCTCAAGAAAAAATAAAAGGAGCCAAGAGCCAGGCCCTGCCTTGTGCATAGCCTCACTTGGTTTTCACAATTCCGGAAGGATAGTCTCCATTCTATGAAGAAGTCAAGGCTCACAAGGCTTTCCTCACAGCCGACTGAGGAGCAGGGATGTGCAGCCAAAGCTTGTCTCCCCCACAACCTTGGTTACTCTCCCTCTGTTAGCACGTTCAACCATGTCAGTTCTCTGGGGTTAACTCATTCCAAGCTGGGGCCCCATCCAATTGATTTGAATTACCAAGTCAGGGGCCTCATCTTCCCCAAAGGGAACAAAGACGTGTAAACTGGCCACGTGCTTGCCATGAGAGGTGACCAGGCCATGGCTGAAGACCGGAAGCTTGTCTTCCCTCCTAACATCGTCCCTTCTTTTTGAAGGCTGAGTAGTATTCCCCTCTGTGTGTATATTACATTTTGAAAAGCCTGGCTAATTTTTAGCACAAAAACAAATCACTTAAGACACATCTCAGCACATACACAATGGGAAACATCTGCTGAAAACCTTTGATCTACTCACGTGGTATGAACTGAGCTCTCTCCGAGCAGGTGCTGGCCCACAAGTGTTCACAATGTAGAAGACAGCTAAAGCACGTGACAGCCCCTGTCACGTAGCACAGCTGGTCACCTGGCCAGTGGTCCAAGAGAGCCAGAGGAAGCTGCGGGCCTCATCAGCCTGCCGGGTTTTACATGTGCCTGTCCTGTCTCATAGCCTCTACCTCACCCCATGTGCTTTCCTCCCACTGCCCATGTCTGATCCTGTCCAGGACTCATTCCCTACAGCAGCTTAGACCATTGTAAACTTACCCAGCAAACTTGGTAAAAGTCCATGAAGCTGTTCTCATGGTCTGTGAGGCTAACAGAAGTGTATTTATAGCCCGTAAGTTATTAATAGGGTTTTACTGGTTTCCAGTCTAAGCACAGATCTCTCCATAAACTCGTGAGGGTGGGCGGTAAAAATATGGGAATGTTATTGGGTGAAATCCCCATGAAGGGAGCATTGTGCAATGCCACCCCGATTCACCTTGTTAAATCTGTGCTGGGAACACGTGGCTTGTTGTAAAAATGAGTTCTTTGACACCAAGGACTCAGAACCACTTCTCTGCCCTTTGCCCCTGCCTCCCCACATGTCCCCAGGAAGATGTGTGCACAGTTGACACTGGTCATATGCCCTTTGATCCAGAGAACCTGACAGCTCCAGGAGACAGGCTGTACCGCACAGGGTGCTGTTTGCCCAGGCCAGTTCTGGGTCCATGTGGCCGTCAACCACAGCCAGCTTCAGAAGCCAGGTGTCTGCTTCCTCTGAGCCCAAACCCAAGTCTTAGAACTCACCACTCCACTGATACTCAAGGCTCCCCCCCCCCCCCCCCCCGGGTAGCACATGGCCATCCCAGCCCGCAGCCACACTAAGCTGTAGCATGTCAGGCTGGGCACCGCAAGAGTGGAGGGAGGCATGTGATAAGAGGCTCTGAGGGCAGCAGAGCAACCCCTGTTCTCTGGGTGTGCCTTCTGAATAGCAGGAAATGCGTGTGTATGGGGGGGTCTCCCCTGAGAGCAGAGCCAGGCCCACTCAAACCATGTGAGGTGTCAGAGAAAGGGCACCAGGTCTGTGAATGGAGATTGCCAGCCTTGGGGCCTGGCTAGAGCCCAGGCCTGACCCATCCCACCAGGACTCTCCTACAGGAAAGTGGGGGTATGTTGACAGGACCCAGAGGAGGTGGAGAGTCGGCTAGGGAGGACCCCATCTATCCAAGCTTCTGAAGGGAGCTGTCAGAGCTAGGAAGGGGAGGCTTGTGATGTCCATGGGCTGTCGTGAAGGTGGTTTGGGGGGCACTGACAGGACTCGTGCCCCATCCACTTGTGAGCAGTAGTGACAGCCACGGCCATGGGGTAGGTACAGAATCAACATTCAACCTGAACTCATGGGCTGGGGCATGGTGCTCTAGTGGAGGGAAGGGATGGGGGCGGTGAGTGGGCTGGGTCGGGCGGGCGGGGGGGCAGTGAGTGGGTTGCGTGGGGAAGTGAGCAGGCTGGGCCGGGGTGTTGAGTGGGCAGGCTAGGATAGAACAGGGCTGAGTGGAGCAGACTAGAATAGGCACAGAGCACAGGCAGCAGCAGATGGGGTTGGGTGGGACGGGGTGGGATAGGACAGAGCAGGCATAGATGGAACACAGGCCACAGGAGTCCCAGGACCACCGACACCTTCCCGTCCCTGAAGGAGGAGGCCTCTGCAGCAGTGCCGTCATGGTCCGCACTGCTGTTTGGTCTTCATTGAGCTTCGTAGGCTCCACTGTTGCTCACGGCAAGCGAGGGGCAGTGGGCATG